TTTACAAGCGTCAGCTACGCAATCTGGTGGCTAAATCCGTATCGGAGTGCCCTAGGTCATTATTCATCTTTGACGAAATGGATAAAATGCCAATTGGGCTCATAGATGTTCTCAAACCTTACTTAGACCACTACCCTGATGTGGGAAAGATAGACTATCGCAAAAGTATCTTCATATTTCTCAGCAACTCAGGGGGTCATCTTATAAACGGTGCTGTGCTAAACCACTGGAAGGAGGGAAAGAAGAGAGAAGACATTAAAATCAAACAGATGGACAAGGTTATTAACCTTGGTGAATTTAACAACAAGGGTGGTTTTTGGCACTCATCTCTAATTGAGAAGAATCTCATTGATTACTTCATTCCATTTATGCCATTAGAGAGATCCCACATCAAAATGTGTGCTAAAGCCGACCTAGAAAAGAAAGGACACCCAGTCACTGAACTGATCCTTAACAAGGTGGCCGACGAGCTAATCTACTTTCCAGATGACTTGAAGGTCTTTTCCCAGTCTGGTTGTAAGAAGATTTCCAGTAAAGTAGACTATATAATGGGTTAAGAAAACAAAGTGTTTTAGAGTTAGTTTTAAGTATTGTCTCATGTGATTCCTGTTATTACTTCACGTGAACTTTTGCATGAAGAGTCTGTGGTAGGCAGTGGGAGAAAGTTTGAGAATCTGGAGTGGGTAGTTGCCAGTTTCATCCTAGTACACAAAAACTTTTGGTATTGATTTGTGGGGTCAACAGCCCTGCTTTTTCCTTTCCCCTGGCCTTTTCATCCCATCGACCAGAAAGTGAAGTTAGAGCAAGGATGCCAGAATCACTGTGACAACCTCCTCATAGCTTGAAGAGAATGAATGCAGGCCAGATAAGTTATTCTATATGACATCTACAGGTTATTTGGTCTCACCCAGCTTCCTGTATTCGATGTTAACTCTTGAGACCCAAAAATTCCATCCTCAGCATTAATGTTGTCACAGCCCTGCTGAATAGAAGTGGTTTGGTACAAATTCATTGGTTGGTGCCATAAAATATTCATATCCACCCCAATGAGGGTTATTTTAAGGATAGAGTGCAATCAGTGTCCATTGTTATGTGCCATCCTCTTTAACTTAAGAAAGGTGTTACTACAACTACTGGAAATTCCACAGGGGAGAATCAAAAGCCAAAATTGGAATTCCCACAAAGATGGGGGAGAGGGTTTCAAACAAACAAACCTGCTGTGGGAGGAGTATGGATATTTTCTGGAACAACATATTCCAGAAAAAAGGCTATTTTGTACCAAGACAACTTATTATCCAACTCTTCTCTTTGTATAACAACTGACACAATAAATGAGTACAAGTATAGGTAATTTAGATATTTTTATGATAGGAAAGCATGACCACATATGACACAAAGGCAGTTTAAAAGAAGAACACTGGATGACATTTTAGGCTGTAATATTGCTGTATACACAATATACTTGTTATTTTTCAGCCTTAGGTCTTCAATGTTACACCATGCAGCACGGATATTAG